AGTATGTGGTCAAATTTTGAATACTCTAATGCTGTTATTCCTCTGTTATTACTCTAATGCTATAATTCTGGTATAGAGGCTTTTTGAAAAACTGTTACAAGTAACTACAGATAGTAGCTTCTTTTTTTAGTAGGTTCTTAACTGATAAAATATCTAGAGTTAAATGTGACACCAAAAACATAAAATGAAGGAGAGACATAGAAGTAAAGAGTTTTGTAGTGATCTAAGTTAAGTAGCCATTATTTTAAAATGCTGTTTTAAGGCATTTTATGTTTGACTTCTGGTGACCACAAAGCAAAAACCTACACTAGATCCACAAAAGAGAAAGAGAAAGGAATCAAAGCGTGCTACTAAAGAAAAATCATCAAATAACAAAATAGACAGCAATAGAGGAAGAAAGGAACAAAGGATCTAGAAAATAACTACCTGGCAATATTACATCCTGATCTATCATTAATTACCCTGTTGGTGCTGTGGCACAGTAGGTTAATCCTCTGCCTGCAGCACCGGCATCCCATATGGGTGCCGGTTCTAGTCCCGGCTGCTCCTCTTCCAATCCAGCTCTCTGCTGTGGCCTGGGAAAGCAGTAGAAGATGGCCCAAATCCTTAGGCCCCTACACCCTCATGGGAGACCAGGAAGATGTATCTGGCTTCTGGCTTCAGATCAGCACAGCTCTGGCCATAGTGGCCATTGAGGAGTGAACCAACAGACAGAAGACCTTTCTGTTTCTCCCTCTCACTGTCTGTAGCCCTACCTCTCAAATAAATAAATAAAATATTTTTTTTTTAAAAAATAATTACCCTAAATGTAAGTAGACTAAATTTTTCCATATATAGGTCGAGCATCCCTAATCCAAAAGTCCAAAACCCAAAATGCTCTAAAATCCAAAATGTTTTGAGTGTGGTTGTGTTCAATCAGTAGAGTCTGTGCAAGTATCCCAAAATCTGAAAAACCCAGAAATCTGAAGCACTTCCTGGCATTTTGGATAAGGAATATTCAACTGTACAGCTGTTCTGGAATTTTCTCTTTATTAAGAATTCTTAGACCCAAGATTCTAGCATTTTGGACTTTGAAGACTCAAACTAGAGATCAAAAAATAAACAAAAATGGAACCAGTTGGAGGACACCATTCAAGTGACTTCTAGCCTCTTACTGAGCTCTTTGCATTAGTTTTTCAGCAATATAATCCAGAGTGTTTTGCCAAGAATAATTCACCTGCCAGACATTCAGCACACTGGAGAAGGCCAGACATTCTCAAGCAGTGGAAGAGGTAATGAAAATAAAAGGGCATGCAAAGCCCGATGTTTTCCTGCATGCTTCTCTTACCATAGACACTTGAAAAAACAAAAACAAAAATAAAAAGTAATTACTAAAAGTTATCACAGCACGATTTGCTGAGTCACTGAATTAAGGTATTTTTTAACAGGCCTGTTTATTTCTAGAGGACTGTTGATTTTTAATAGAGATGTTACTATTTGAATCCACATGGGGATTTTTTGAGTGCACTTTTATATCCAAAGTTGTCAAAATGCAGTTGGCTGGATGTCACACACAAAGAAATTTTAAGGGAGAGCACAAAGTTTAAAGGTACTCTGAGCTTCATTAGAGCTCATTAGAGGAACAAATCATGTGATAAAGATATTTCAAAAAATTTTAATATTTATTCATTCGGAAGTCAGAGTTATAGAGATGGAGAAGCAGACAGAGACAGAGAGAGAATCTTCCATCCACTGGTTCACTCCTCAGATGACCACAACAGCCAGGGCTGGACTAGAAGCCAGGAGCTTCATCTGGGTCTCCCATGTGGGAGCAGGGGCCCAAATGCTTGGGTCATCTTGCACTGCTTCTCCCAGGGCCTTAGCAGGGAGCTGGATCAGAAATGAATCAGCCACAGGTGCCCATATGAGAAGTCAGTGTTGCAGTTGGTGGCTTTACCCACAATGCCACAATACCAGGCTCTCAGATGAATTTTAAACTTGAGATCAAGATACAGATTTCATCCTGGCCCCTCCACTTAGTAGCTGTGTGTTTTGGCCTGGTCACATAATATTTCTGATCTCTAATTCCCTCAACTGGAAAATCAGGAGGAAAATGCATGTCCTTGTTTCATTATGGGTCATTGTTGAGAGACAAAATGAGATCATGTCTGGGAAAATATGTCTAAGTTATCAACTGTTTTTCTGGCTAAAGAAGGATGCATCTTTCTGTGGAATTATGCCAGAGGCCTTGAAATGCAAAGATGTCCTTTAAAATGGAGTCAGCCTTCTGTCCTCAGAGACTCAGGTTTTCTGCAAGTAATTCATAAACTGAGCGCTCCACTGAAAAGGAAACCTGATTTAAGGAATATCAGCATTTAGAAGCCCCATGGAGGCCGGGGTGTTTCCTCTTTCACAATTATGTGAACAACATTCACTCCTGGAAATCACTCCAATGTCTCACGTCTCAAGTCTGTAGCCTTTTTTTGTTTCCTTTTGATTTTGATGTGTGTTGCCTTCTCCACCTCCCTGCTAAGGATTTGTTCTCTCCTGCCCATGTCACAGGCTTGGGAGTAACTATCATATTTATTACTATTACTTCACGTATGATGCTCTGAGCCTTCTGAGTACCAGTATTTCATTAAACAGAGTTACTCCAGCCTAGTAACAAGACAATGGGTGACAATATAAAGATGTAATTTTGCCAGAAGGTCTGAATCATTGAATCACATCAGAATTGACTTCTGAAATCATCTTTCCAATGGTTTAAAGATTTTTAAATAACACATGCCTTTTGTAAATCTTTGGTAGAGAAACAGATATAAATAGATTTAATCAAAACTGTTTGGGGAAAAAGTAGGTGTAATTCTAACATATTACTCAGTCTCCTTGTATCTTTACAGATACTAAGGTTCCATTCTCAACCATTTGAAAACCACTCTATACTGTCTAATCTCCTTCCTCTCCAGTGCTTCAGTCTCTTCTACAACAACCACTGTTGGGTTGTTTAGCCTTTGGACGTTTCCAGTGATACCCGTCCTCCCAAGAAAGACCATCTTATTAACATCTTTGACTATTAATTTACAAAGTTCATTCCCACCATTTGATGGTTTCCTTGTAACTTCTCTCTCTTTTTTTTTTTTTTTTTTTTTTTTTTTTTTTTACGCCAGGCAGAGTGGACAGTGAGAGAGAGACACAGAGAGAAAGGTCTTCCTTTGTGTCTTTTTGTTCACCCTCCAATGGCCGCCACGGCTGGCGCGCTGCGGCCGGTGCACCGCGCTGATCCGATGGCAAGAGCCAGGTGCTTATCCTGGCTGCACCCATGGGGTGCAGGGCCCAAGGACTTGGGCCATCCTCCACTGCACTCCCAGGCCACAGCAGAGAGCTGGCCTGGAAGAGGGGCAACCGGGACAGAATCTGGCGCCCCGACCAGGACTAGAACCCGGTGTGCCAGCGCCACAAGGCGGAGGATTAGCCTAGTGAACTGCTGCACTGGCCGTAACTTCTATTTGTTGTTAGGGCAACTGCAGTAGACTATACTCTGTTCTGTGCAAGAGTTGAGTCAATGATCATGTGCCCTGAAAACTGTTTTTTTTTTTTCATGTGAATATGTGGGTCTAATCTGTTTATTCTAATTGCTTTGCTTTGGGCTGGCTTTCCTTTGAGCTGGCTTCAATTTGTCAATGTCAGTTTTAATTTGTGTGCCCACAACTGAAAACAGTAATTCCTATATTGACTATATCCATCAACGCTCTCATTTCAAACATTCTACTTCTGCTAATGTGGCCTATAATTGCATTTGAATTTGGAGAAGCTCTTGGAGCTTAGTCAACTAAATCCCATATATTGTTCTTAAATATGCTACTGAAGAAGAACCACAACTCCTGTGTTACGAACTTATGAATTTGTTTTTATGGCTTTGTGTGGTCATTTTCCTTTGCTGTGATTCATGAAATCAGCCACATGGTTCTGTTAGAAGGATTTCCAGGCTTTTATCATTTGTAGGACCTATGTATTTGTTCAGTTTTTAATCTGTCAATCAGGAAGACACCCTCTTCTTAATAATCTTAAGATCTTTTTTGATACAAACTTTTTTAGGAAAAAATGGTGATTAGTTTAGATCCAGATAATGGTTACTCATTTGTATATGATGTGAATAACCTTCCTGATAATTTTTGAGGTTTGGAGAGGACTCACTGGAAGTCTGAAAGGATAGAAAAAGTGATGAATTGGTTCAGTTACACTTCAATGGTCCAGTGAGTCCATAATGTCAAAAATCTACTCCCAAAGGAAAAATTTTATCTACTATTAAACAGATACATTTTTAAGCATCAGGAGATCAGTCTGAATTTTCATTCTTCCTGAGGAATTTTCTCAGCTTTGTGGGTTTCAGCCAGATACTTTGCCTTCCTTAAGCATATTTTCATGTGGTTTTATAATATTTATTTAACATTATTTTCCATTAGTTCTCTAATTTTAATTGTTGGTAACCATTTCAGTATGCAGCTATTACATGGTGCAGAACTGATTTATCCATGTTAATGTCTTGAAGAGACCATGACCCATTTTATTTGCTGCGTGGTCAGCCCTGGTATTCGTGGCAGGTTTTCTGAATATTTCTGATGAGGTCTTTAAGTGCATGTAATTCTGAAAACACATTCCCATTCAGTAAGACTTCTACAGGATGGTAAGCCCAACATGGCAAAAGGTTTCTAAAAAATTCCATAAACATTAAGCATATTTATGTCATAGCATTAAGTTTGGTCAATTTGAAACTTACTGTATTGTAGTATAAGAGGCATTTTGTTTGCTTGTGTTTACTTTCCCAGGAGTAAATGCGTTTTGGTTAACCACAATGGCAAACTTAGTCAAGACGTTTGTGTCAACAAATCCTGCTGCTTAACAAAGTCGCATTCTTAGTTTCTAGGACAGCAGACTGGATTCTAAGTAATAAGGTGTTTATAAGGTGTGCTGTCAATCCGGGACTATAAACATGTCTACTTTTCTGTTAAACCTGCTGCTGTGCATGAGGTACAATAAGCTCTCTTTTCAGGTTTACGGTGGCCAGTATGTTGGCTTGCCAGTCTTGATCACTGTTGATTCTACTGTTCCCAAAGCCTCCTGCCAAGCTCTTGACCCAAGTCACGCTCCCTGGTGATGTCATAATGCTGCTAAGAATTTGCTCATTCACAGTACCTGTAGGGATGCCCCCAGAGTCACATACCTTCCCTCTTAGTCACACACTGCTTGGAGAATAACACCTTAAAAAAGCAAGGCCTCTCCTTCCTGGATTTTAAAGGTATCACATTTTTAGATATTTCTTGAACTTACAGATACAGTAAGATGATTATTACCTTTTTTGTAAGTTATTTTCAAGATGGCTTTTTCTCAAAAATTAAACAAAAATCTTGTTCTTTTTGCAAAAAGAAAAGAAAAAGGATTTTCTCTGTGTCCACAAAAAAAAATTCTATTTAAAAAAATTTATTCATTTATTTGAAAGACAGAGTTACAAAGAAAGGAGGAGACAGAGAAAGAGAAAGAGAGAGAGAAAGAATCTTCCATCCACTGGTTCATTCCTCAAATGGCCTCAATGGCTAGGCTGGGCCAAGTTGAAGCCAAGAGAATGGAACTCTATCTGGGTCTTCCCCATGGATTGGCAGGGTCCTAAGGACTTTGGTTATCTTCCACTGCTTTACAAGGTACATTAGCAAGGAGCAAGATCAGAAGGAGGCCAGTCAGAACTTGATCCAGTGGCCATATAGGATGCCAGCATTACAGATGATGGTTTAACCTACTGCGCCACAACACTGGCCCTGTAAAATTTATTTTAATTCCATGTATATTTCTAGGTCACAGTGCCTGATATTAAAGATTATCACCAAACATCTGGAGGAGAAGGAGGGAGATCGTTCCTAGATCTGGATATTTACACCACCTGATGGCAAATGTGTCTGTTTGGAAATATCTGATCAACTTTAAGTTTATAGTTTTTCACCCAAATACTAGGCATTTATACAGACACATTATACCTTGCATTTTAGCTTCTTTACACTTAAATTCCCGCAACCAAAATGCTCACAGCATATTACAGAGAACAATATTATCAACAAATTTGACATTTTCAAACACTCCACTCAACAGCAGAACACACATTCTTCCTAAGTTCACTCAAAGTATTTGCCAAGATAAATCATATTTTAGACTACAAAATGAGGTCATGATAACTTTTGAAAGGGTCAAATCATACAACATATATTTACAGATGACCGTGAAAAAAAATCAGAAATTAGAAACTAATAAAAAATCTGGAAATTCCCCTAACATTTAAAAGCTAAATAACATTCTCTGTTGATCCATAAATCAAAGAAAAAAATGGAAAATTAGATAATAGCTTCAACTGAATGAAAGAACTGAATGAAAAGAATTATGCATCTCTTTAGGGAACAATTTATAGCACTCAATATCTCGAGTAGAATATAAGAAAGGTCAAATTAATAACCTTAGCTTCCACATTAATAAATTATAAAAAGAACATACTAAGGGTAAAGTAAAAAGAAGAAATAGCAAAAATCACAATAGAAATGAATTAAAAGAAAAATATTAGTATCATAAATCAAAAACAAATTATTTGATAAGACTAATAAAACTTATAAAATGCTAGCAACACCAACCAGGAACCAAAAAAGAAGGCATAAATTAGCACTCCGATAAAAGAAAAGTGATTTCATTACATATTCATACTTCACAGACATTAAAAAGGCAAACCTGGGGCAAGTGCCAAGATTTTCCAGTGCTTGGAACACCTGCATCTGATATTGGAGTATCTGGCTTTAACTTCCAGCTCTACTCTCCATTTCAGCTTCCAGCTAACGTGTACCTGGGATGAAGCAGGTAACGGCTCAAACAGTTGGATCTCTGCCACAATGTGGAAGATCCAAATTCAGTTCCAGGTTCTTGGCTTCATCCTGTACCAGCCCTGATTCTTGTGAAAATTTTGAAAGTAAACCAACAGATATGAGATTCTCTTTCTTTCTCTCTCTCTAATAAATTAAAAGTAATTTTTAAAAAGATACAGAAATATTACATCTATGTCAATTTATTCTATAGCAGAGGTGAAATCATCAATCTGAGGTGCAAATTACCAAAGGCAAATCAAGAAAAAAATGCATAACCCAAATATCCCCGTCTATTATGGAAATTGAATTTTCAGTCAAAAATCCTCTCAGAAGGAATACTCAACATGCCAGTGATGTCATGGGAGAATTTTACCAAATCTTTGTAGAATAAGAAATACAAATTCACACGAAATTTTCCAAATATAAAAAGAGAAAATATCTCCCAAGTTATTGTACTAAACTACCACTACCCTGATGCCAAAACCAAATAAGATATTATAAGAAAATAAAATCTTAGACCAATATCCTTCATGAACATAGATGTAAAAATCAATAAATTTCTAGCAAATCAAATAAAAACCAGTGGGGTTTATTCTAGGAATCAAGAGTTAGCTAAGCATTTGAATATCAGTTAACATAATTTAGCAAAACAAAAAAGAAAAAAAAAAGCACTTCATCATTTGCATAGATGCAGGAAAAGCATTTAATGAATCCAACATCCATTCCTGATAAAAACTGGGAATAGAAGGGATTGTCCTAATTCTGATAAAAACAAATGTATAAAAAATTTATCACTAGTATCATTCTTTAATGGTGAAAGACTGAGTTATTTTTAATTAATAAAGGTCAGGAACAAGGCATTGATATACACTTTCATCAGTGTTATGGCTGTAGGATCTAAGCAATGCAAAAAAAAAAATACAGCCACACTGAAAGGAAGAAGTAAAACTCTATTTGCAGACAAATGATTGTCTATTGAGAGAATCTAAAGGAATCTACAAAAAAGATACTAGAACTAGTAGTTTAATTTAGCAAGATTGCAGGGTACATTATCAATACATAAAAATTAATTGTAGTTCTATATATTAGCAATGAACAGTTTGAAGTTGAAGTTTTAAAAGTTTCATTTACAGGCCGGCGCCGTGGCTCAATAGGCTAATCCTCCACCTTGCGGCGCCGGCACACCGGGTTCTAGTCCCGGTCGGGGCGCCGGATTCTGTCCCGGTTGCCCCTCTTCCAGGCCAGCTCTCTGCTATGGCCAGGGAGTGCAGTGGAGGATGGCCCAGGTGCTTGGGCCCTGCACCCCATGGGAGACCAGGAAAAGCACCTGTATCCTGGCTCCTGCCATCGGGTCAGCGCAGTGCGCCGGCTGCAGCGGCGGCCATTGGAGGGTGAACCAACGGCAAAGGAAGACCTTTCTCTCTCTGTCTCTCTCTCTCACTGTCCACTCTGCCTGTCAAAAAAAAAAAAAAAAAAAAAAAAGTTTCATTTACAGTAACATAAAAATATTCTTGTTTATAAGCAGCATTGTGTAAGACTTATATGTTGAAGCCATAAAAATATTACTGAGATAAACTGAAGAAAACTGAAATAGGAAAGCTAAATATACCTTGTGGATGAGTCAGTGGATTGTTATGATATCAGTCAGGATCCCAGTGTTGCTAAGATACCAGTTCTCCCAAATTAATCTAGTCCTTCAATGAAATCAAAATAAAAATAATAACAGGCTTTTGTATAGAAATTGATAAGCTGTTTCTAAAAATTCAAATGGAAACACAAAGAACCTAAGAAAGTCAAAACAATTTGGAAAAGAAGAAAAAAATGGGAGCATAATGCTACCTAATTTCAACAATAAGTACATTATTAATAAATAATAATATAAATGTCATTAATAAATATAAAACTACAATAATAAAGATAATATAATATTGATATCAAATCAGACAAATTGATAAAAACTACTAAAAAAGCAGTTTAGAAATATACCACACATTTATACACCTGTTTCTTGATAAAGTTGAAAAAGAAATTCGATAAAGAAAGTGCCATCTTCAACAAATGAAACAACTGGATATCTACATGCACAAAAAAAGAAATTTATTGTCATATCTGTACCATGAATGAAAAAAAATAATTCACAATAGATCACAGGTCTAAGTGTAAAATTTAGGACTATAAAACATTTAGGAGAAAATAGAGAAAAATGTTGCAACTATGAGTTAGATGAAAATTTCTTATTTACAGTCAGGCAGTATTCAGTTATTAGGTCATCATCCAACTGCTCCTTGAAGATTATCATTTAAAGTGCGACGTGAAACATTTCTAATAGCAAACTGGATAACACCTGGGCCCCAGTTCGAGAAACACTTCTACAAGCAGTACATAATTCTGAGCAAAATTCTCTTTTTATGGCGAAATTAAAGAAGTCATAAGCTGAAGGTAATGTAGCCATCCAAAAGGAGAGAGATTTGGAAACCTAAACCCAGATCTCCCTCCTTTTGAATGCTAAGAAAGAATGAGGGCATTTCTGTTTGCATTATAAATTTTGCACTTCGATTTTTTTCTGTCCTGATACAATTGAAATATTTCACTCATATATCACAATCTTAATTCCCCACCCACGCACACACAAAAGACTTCTCCCAAAACTTCAGGCATTATATTTTCTTCTATCAAGGACTGTATTTATGAGAATTAAAATAAATGACAGCAAAAACCAGACAGTACTCTGAAAACCTACTCATTAAAATCATCTCACATGCACCTTTGCATCACTATGAACACAAATGAAAGTAGTCCCTTTCAGCTCTCAAACATTTTGAAAGCAAGTGGGTAAGATTGCTGGTAACTTGGCTGGCTTCTCCATGTCGGTGTTTTTTTTTTTTTTTTAAACTTTTATTTAATGCATATAAATTTCCAAAGTACGACTTATGGATTACAATGGCTTCCCCCCAATACCGTCCCTCCCACCCACAACCCTCCCCTTTCCCACTCCCTCTCCCCTTCCATTCACATCAAGATTCATTTTCGATTATCTTAATATACAGAAGATCAGCTTAGTATACATTAAGTATGGATTTCAACAGTTGCTCCCACACAGAAACATAAAGTTAAAAATAATAGATGATTTTTTTAAATGATGATGAAATCAGAGCAGACCTATTGTCATGTTTAATCCCAGTGAGAGTCAAGTTGGGAATTGATAATTTCTTTCTTTTCTTTTCTTTTTTTTTTTTTTTTTTACAGAGGATCAGTTTAGTATGCATTAAGTAAGGATTTCAACAGTTTGCACCCCCATAGAAACACAAAGTGAAATATATTGTTTGAGTACTCGTTATAGCATTAAATCTCAATGTACAGCACATTAAGGATAGAGATCCTACATGAGGAGTAAGTGCACAGT